GGGGGTGAGATCGAAAGTTCCAGCCCTCTAATCACATGGTTCTTTCCCCTGGCAACCAGCCCCCATCCTTGGGTTATCTAGGGGCCTTCCAAAAATTACTATATTAACTGAAACTCCCATGGTAAGTGGCTTGTTATAAATAACAAAAGATACCTTTATTGCCCTTATCACTTAGGAAATTCCAAGGGTTTTAGGAGCTGTGAGGCAGGAATGAGACCAAGACCAAATATATATTACTTATTATAAATCACAATAGCACATTACTATTCACCACTGCAAAGCAGCCGGTCTACCACAAGGGGCTAGGATGGTCCCTGACATGGGTTCAGCTGGGGATGGAGTAGGTGGGAAGCAGCAGACGGTGCCGCTTCAGTCCCCTCACCTCAGGCTCCATCTAGTGCCTGGACCACGTTACCTGCCGGCACTATTGCTCTGAGGCTAGTGGGGGTGGGCGGGTGGGAAGAGCATGGGCTTTGGACCGGGGTTCTGGCTCCGGGTCTGTGCTTGAGCCCCTCCAGCTTTGATGCCAGTCTCTGCAAAAGGGAGCTGATACCACATAGTAGAGTGGTTCTGAGTAAAAAGTGGTTCATGCAGGTGTACTAGCTTACAGTACCTACAGCACAGTAGGGGCTTGATAAATGTGTAGCATCTAACACAGTGCCTGGCAAAATGCCAACGTTAGTGCTCACCTGTGTGCCACTGGACACGCCCATCAGGGTCCCTGCTGCCCCTGAGGCACATGGGAGCTAAATGTGACTGTGCCCGTCTTTTCCAGCCCCTGCATCTACCCTCAGCCACAAAATTCTCTTTAAGTTCAATTTACACTTATTGAGTAGCTACTGTGTGCCAGGCACTACCCTGGCCACTGAGGATACAGATCTAAAGACGCAGAACTCGCCCCTATGAACTTGATCGTTTAGTTATGAAGTCAGCCACAGAACCTGATGCCTCCTGATGGGATCAATGCTGTGATAGATGTAGGTGCCTACGGGGATGCTAGGGACCAGTTCACTGGCCTAGGTGAGCAAATAAAGGAAGGCTTCCTGGAGAGGCTGAGAGGGGAGCTGAGTCTTGAGGATGAATAGATATTAGCATCAGAAGGTGCTTGTAAAAAGATCCAGATTCCAGGACTCAGCCATTCAGACTGGGCAGATTGACCCAGGAATCTGCATTTTCACAAGCAACTCCTACCCGCCCCCCAGGGTATTTATGGATAAAAATGTTCACTATAGTTTAGGACCACTGCTTTGAGAGCTATGGAAAGTGGATTTGAAATAGGTACAACTGAGGAAATCCTTTAGCAAAATGTTAGAGAAAAGGAGATAAACCTGAGAAATATTTAGCAGGCAAAATCCAGAAAGCCTTGGAGAATGAGTGGGAGAGATGTGAGGGAAGGGACGAATGAGAATAAATGTAAGTTGAGTCTCGGGTTTCTGGCTGGTGATGGAGTGGATGGAATAACGGACGGGCGGTGGGCTTGGGAGACCTGCCACCGTGTGGTTCCCTCAAGTTGACTTGATTGATTAATGCCGTCGGCTGAAAGAAGCGCTCTTCCTCCCTCCCGTGTGCAACCCTCTCTACAGGCTTGGGGCTCAGGCAAAGGTGGGTGGAAGTGGGAGTGGAGGTGGGGAGATGGGGAGAAAGAGATGCGTGTCGGGATTGTAGTTGGTGATGAATTTAGCATAGATTGGATGGAGCTGCCTCTGGGACGCCAAGTGTGTTTGGGCTTTAGTGGTTCTGGCTCCGGGTCTGTGCTTGAGCCCCTCCAGCTTTGATGCCAGTCTCTGCAAAAGGGAGCTGATACCACATAGTAGAGTGGTTCTGAGTAAAAAGTGGTTCATGCAGGTGTACTAGCTTACAGTACCTACAGCACAGTAGGGGCTTGATAAATGTGTAGCATCTAACACAGTGCCTGGCAAAATGCCAACGTTAGTGCTCACCTGTGTGCCACTGGACACGCCCATCAGGGTCCCTGCTGCCCCTGAGGCACATGGGAGCTAAATGTGACTGTGCCCGTCTTTTCCAGCCCCTGCATCTACCCTCAGCCACAAAATTCTCTTTAAGTTCAATTTACACTTATTGAGTAGCTACTGTGTGCCAGGCACTACCCTGGCCACTGAGGATACAGATCTAAAGACGCAGAACTCGCCCCTATGAACTTGATCGTTTAGTTATGAAGTCAGCCACAGAACCTGATGCCTCCTGATGGGATCAATGCTGTGATAGATGTAGGTGCCTACGGGGATGCTAGGGACCAGTTCACTGGCCTAGGTGAGCAAATAAAGGAAGGCTTCCTGGAGAGGCTGAGAGGGGAGCTGAGTCTTGAGGATGAATAGATATTAGCATCAGAAGGTGCTTGTAAAAAGATCCAGATTCCAGGACTCAGCCATTCAGACTGGGCAGATTGACCCAGGAATCTGCATTTTCACAAGCAACTCCTACCCGCCCCCCAGGGTATTTATGGATAAAAATGTTCACTATAGTTTAGGACCACTGCTTTGAGAGCTATGGAAAGTGGATTTGAAATAGGTACAACTGAGGAAATCCTTTAGCAAAATGTTAGAGAAAAGGAGATAAACCTGAGAAATATTTAGCAGGCAAAATCCAGAAAGCCTTGGAGAATGAGTGGGAGAGATGTGAGGGAAGGGACGAATGAGAATAAATGTAAGTTGAGTCTCGGGTTTCTGGCTGGTGATGGAGTGGATGGAATAACGGACGGGCGGTGGGCTTGGGAGACCTGCCACCGTGTGGTTCCCTCAAGTTGACTTGATTGATTAATGCCGTCGGCTGAAAGAAGCGCTCTTCCTCCCTCCCGTGTGCAACCCTCTCTACAGGCTTGGGGCTCAGGCAAAGGTGGGTGGAAGTGGGAGTGGAGGTGGGGAGATGGGGAGAAAGAGATGCGTGTCGGGATTGTAGTTGGTGATGAATTTAGCATAGATTGGATGGAGCTGCCTCTGGGACGCCAAGTGTGTTTGGGCTTTAGTTTGAAAAGGGTTTGGGGCTTAAGAGGTTTGGAGGTGGAGGTGGAGTTTGGGGTCATCAGCAGCTTTTTTTTTTTTTTTTTTTTTTAAAGGACTGAGTTTTTCCAGATAAATTCTGTGTTCAGTAATTTATTCCTAAGAAATTCCGTGTTCAGTAATTTATTCCTATGATAATGGGTTATTTTATTGCTGTTGCCAGTCTCCATCATGGAAGGTGCCAGTAATTCAAGTACCTCTGGGTTTTTGTTTTTTGGGGGGGGTTTTTTTGCGGTACGCGGGCCTCTCGCTGTCGTGGCCTCTCCCGTTGCGGAGCACAGGCTCCGATGCGCAGGCTCAGCGGCCACGGCTCACGGGCCCAGCCGCTCCGCGGCATGTGGGATCTTCTTCCCGGACCGGGGCACGAACCCGTGTCCCCTGCATCGGCAGGCGGACTCTCAACCAGTGCGCCACCAGGGAAGCCCTCATCAGCAGCTTTTAAGGGAGACTCAGAACAGTGATCTCACCCAGAGAGTGGAGGGGAGTGGGCCTGGGGCAGAACCCTGGGAAGGCCAGCACGATAAGAAAGGTGGTCCTTGTTAGGGTCTTGCTAAAGAAAATGTTTGACCTCCCCCATTTTTCACACTGAGAAATCACTGGAAATAACCCTGGGGGAAGTGTAAATGGTATCCGGACACCTCAACTCCATCTTTGCTGTGGTGGGGTGGGGGGGGCGGGCGCGGGGCAGCAGCACAAAATACCACTGATTCTCACCATCACAGGAGTTAACGTTCTGCAGTCACCGTGAGCACTGAGTTCGTGAATCCTGAGCCATTGCTCCCAGGGGAAGTGCAGGGTTAGGTTCCTGAGAGCCTCTGGTCACGTTTTCATCCACTGATCAGTACATCTCCTTGTTTGATGTGTGTTTCTATTGCAAGATACCTGACTCAATATATATTGTTGGTTCATTAACCTTGAACTCATGGCCGACAGCACCGTAACTCATGGCTAAGGGAAGCTTGTCTAACGTGTAATAAGGCACATCCCAGCCTCCTGCAGTTAGAAACACTGGACAGCACTTTGGGCCAGCACTCCAGGGGCTGTTTGAAGCAGGGAAATCACCAACAAAAGGCGCAAGAATGCAAAAACTTGGCACTAAATTGATTGCAGGAAGGATGCTTATGGTGTGAGTGCTGAAACGAGAGGGCAGAGCGTCTGT